AAATGTATATTCTGTTGTAATCAGATAGAGGATATTGTTCATTATTTGATGTTTTGCCCTCTTTACTCCTCACCGAGACAACAATTTGTGTCACCCTTTATTGAGTTATATACAGACTGCACACCTCAGGAAACAGTTGTGAAGCTGTTAGCTGATACGCAGCTATTTGTTACATGCTCAGTAGCCCAATTTGCACTGGCTGCCAAGAAACTGCGTGCTCACTTTATTAAAAAACATACCATAATGTAGATATGAATCTCACACTTTGGATTTGGTGATTGTGTAGGGTTTCATTAAAATAGCTTTAAAGTTATGTATAACATTCTTAAAACTACTATTTTTATTCTTGTATATATTTCATTCTGTTTCTATATATTTTATTTTTATGTACTGTAAAGGCCATTGGCTATAAATACAATAAAGTTCTTGACCACTGTAAAAAGAAAAAGAAATTTGGATTGCACAAGTTCTAATGGTGCAGAGTTGGGGAGGGGGTCCCAGTTGGGATCCATAAAGCAGTTGTGTAACCTATTTGGCTTCGAAAAGTTTGAGTGCCGCTGGTATATAATGGCCTCCTCTTGTCATAAGAAATGTGAGGGTGGCTGTTGAGCTCATCTGCGCATTCCCAGCAGCACAGTCCCCATGCACTTTTCTATTACCAGTAGCACGAAAGATTACCCCCAGATATTTGAAGCAGGAAACCTGCTGAACACAAGAGCATTCTGACCCAGGCCTTTCAGTGTCTTAAAAAGGCTCTGACAACCAATCCATTTTGGGTTCTGTAGCATCTTCGTATTTCTGAACTGGTTTGTCCAGTGCCTTCTTTCTTAATAGGTCTGGTATGGTTCCTGTATAACTTATTTGAGTATGCTCTGCATACACAGCAGAAAAACGAGTAAGTGACTAGCACTGACCCATTAGAGTTGCTTTTGTGTGCTGAAAAACTGGGTTCGCTTTCTTGACAGCTCATTGACAGGACCTGGGCATGAGTGGAGAGGCTCTTATTTACACACTGCTGCTATTTTTAGGAGCTCTGTTGAGCTAACAAACCAAATGGCTCTGCGCATGCACTCACCACCTGTGAACGATTTCATCCTTTTAATTCTCTAAAAATGATTATAAAATGAAAACAGAGCTTGGAAGTAATGGGTTACCACTAGTTAGTTACAATTAATTCCCTCTTGCAAGGACTAAGGAATAACTTGTTACATTGTCATTCACTTCACTCCTTTTGTAGTATAAGCAGTAACTATAACAGTTACTTTTATAGTTCTGGGATGGTTTCACTAAAGGGTGGAGGAGAGGTATTGCATAACTGCTGCTGACTCCTGCCTATTGCCTTGTCCTCTGCTGTGAACAATGGTAAAGGGGATAGGAAGAGAGTGTGCTTTGTACCATACGCCAGCGTCTTGAACCATTCAGATGTTGCTGCTGCTGTTGTTTAAATTACTAACAAGCAACTATTTTAGTTATTTTTTAAAAACAGGACCTTAAAGTTGTACCCTCCAAAAATACAATTGTAACAGTAACTAACCTATTTTTGTCCCTTCAGTTATTAATCATAACTTAATTACTTTGTAAAAGTAACTTTCCAAGGTCTTAATAGAACTCTCCCCATGATTTCATTAATTCCCTCTAGCATATCTTGATTTCAGTAAGGCCTTTGACAAGGTCCCCCATGAGATTCTTGCAAACAAGATAGTAAAATGTGGGCTAGACAATGCAACTGTTAGGTGGATTTGTAACTGGTTGACTGGCCAAATCCAAAAAGTGCCCTGCAATGGCTCCTCTTCATCCTGGAGAGAAGTGATTAGTGGTATGCCACAGGGTTCTGTCCTGGACCCAGTGCTCTTCAACATCTTTATCAACAACTTGGATGAAAGAATAGAAGGCATGCTTATCGAATTTGCAGATGACACCAAATTAGGAGGAGTAGCTAATATCCCAGAGAAGAGGAACAACATTCAAAATGACCTTAATAGATTAGAAAGCTGGGCCAGAAGTAACAAAATAAATTACAACAGGGAGAAACGTAAGGTACTGCACTTAGGGCAAAAAAAATGAAATGCACAAATATAGAATGGGGGACACCTGGCTTGACACCCCAGCGCCATTCCCCTCCCCCCTCCCGGCCCCTCAGCAAAAAAAGTTGCCAACCCCTGATCTAGATCAAGGGAAGTAATAGTACCACTGTATTCTGCTTTGGTCAGGCCTCACCTGGAATGCTGTGTCCAGTTCTGGGCATCACAATTCAAAAAGGATATTGACAAGTTGAAGTGTGTACAGAGAAGAGTGACCAAAACGGTGAGGAGTCTGGAAACCATGTCTTATGAGGAGACTTAGGGAGCTGGGTATGTTTAGCCTAGAGAAGGGAAGGTTTAGAATAGGAGCAATGGATGCAAACTACAGGAAAAGAGATTCCACCTCAGCACTAGGAGAAACTTCCTGACAGTAAGAGCTGTTCGACAATGGAAGACACACCCTTGAAATGTGGCGGAGTCTCTTTCTTTGGAGGTTTTTAAACAGAGGCTGGATGGCCATCTGTTGGGGGTACTTTGATTGTGTATTCCTGCATGGCAGAATGGGGTTAGACTGGATGGCCCTTGTGCTGTCCTCCAACTCTATGGTTCAATGATTCATTTAAGATTCTGCTCATGCTAGCAGGTTGTTAGTTTCTTATAAGATTAGATTTAAATTTATTGGATTGAAGAAGCAAATTTATTGGATTGAAGAGCTGGGGGTTGGACTGGATGGCCCTTGTGGTCTCTTCCAACTCTATGATTCTATGAGTACAAGGTATAAAATAAAATTTAAAGATCAGCTTTTGTTCACATTATTTTGTTTGCCCAGTAATCAGTTTGAGTTCCTGGTCCAGAGAATGACTGTAGTTAGCTTCCAAACAGCACCTTAAGAAGGCTTTATATAGGCTGAAATGTTTTTGACTTTTCATAGAATCCTAGACTCATAGTTAAAAGAGACACCAAGGGGCATCCAGTCCAACCCCATTCTGCCATGCAAAGTACTTCTGACAGATGGGCATCCAGCCTCTGTTTCAAAACCTCCAAAGAAGGAGACTGCACCACTCTCTGAGGGAGTGTATTCCACTGTCAAACAGCTCTTACCGTCAGGAAGTTGTTTAGGTGGAAACCTTTTTTTCCTGTAGTTTGCATCCATCGCTTTGTGTCTGGAGTAGCAGAAAACAAGCTTACTCCATCCTCTTTTTTTTTTTTTTTAATCAAGAAAAGAATAGTCCTCTGAGCATCCTGAGATGTGTCTCCAGTTTCTCCTGTGAATGTTACTTCTAAAAAATGGAGAACTATAAAGATGTACTTTGAACTGGTTCCCAGCTTTGTTTTAACAGGTAACTGATAAGATTTTTTTAAAAAAATGTTTAAGAGGTTCATTGACTGTGGAAGTTAAACTGTGGTGTTGAGCATGCTGGGAATGCAAGGGGAGAAGACTGATAAGCTTATCACATAACACTAAATTATGCCAGCTGCTTCATAATGTGGTTGCAACCTCACCCCTCACCTAAAACCACACACAAAAAAAGATGGTCTTCAGCAACAAGGTCATTTTTACTAGGAAAATAAATTGGCAAGTATTGTGCCATTGCTATTCCAATACCTGCAAGACAAATCAACAGCCAGGAAAATAAAAGAAAAATCCAGTCCACCTTAAGGGGAAATTGGAGGAAGAACTTTCTGAGTTCTTGGTCATTCTGCTCCCAAAGGAGATGAGTAATATCATGATGGATGAGCAATGAAACTTCATTAGGAGGAAACTGGAAAGAGGAGTTTGTCACTCAGCTTGCTGTGGCTCAGACCAAAGCCTGAAACATTTATTCCCTTCTGGGTTCAAGGAGACATTCAAAGCCAAGGAAGATTATGCCTGTGAGTCATCAGCACCACCAGGAGCCTATTATGAAGTGGGAGCTAGTTAGGGATACCACAGAGGCTCCCAGCAAGGCAAGGGGATATTTACCTTAATAACAGCTTTCTGTGGAGGGATTTTAAAAAAGGAGGGAGAGAGGGAGAATATCCTCATTTTCTAGCATGCCTTGGAAGACAGGGGAAGAATAGGGACTGGGGACCAATAAAGATCAGAGGACCCATTCTTAAGCTCTGTGAGATTAGAATATTGAAGGCTGCCCTGCTTCAAAAAACAAAACAAAACCCTTAGGTTTTCTTAGGATAATCCGTTGCATGTTTCTGCTCATATATTAACATCAATCAAAAATGGCTTTCCCCAGCCTAGTACCCTCTAGATGTTTTGCACTGCAGCTCCATGCTTATGGGCATTATTTCTCCATGCTTATGGGCATTATTGTTTCCAACATCCAGGGGACACCAGCTTGGGGGGGGGGGAGTGATTTACAGCAACCCTTTTCTCCTGTCTTGTTGCTAGGAAGCCATTCTGGCCCACAGTCTGCAATACCAAACTCGCTTTTATTTTTACTCCCTTTACCCATGACTTTAACCCCTCTTTCAAGGGAGTCAGAGGCATGGCTCATTGGCACAGCAGCTGCTTTTCATCCAGAAGGTCCCAGATTCAACCCCTGGCACCTTTACACATTCTCTCTCACACACATACACACACGCACGTGCAATCAGGTCAAAAGTGATCCATGCTAAGATCCTGAAAATCCATTACCTGTCAGCATAAATCATCATGGGCTAGACAGAGAGGAACAGATTGATCTGGTATAAGGCAGCTTCCTATGTTTCCAAGTCAGAGAGGTGTGCATGACCTTTCCTTTTTAAAAACTTTGTAACAACTACGCAAGATAGGTTAAGCTGTAAAAGGAGGACTGGCTCAAGATCCTCCAAGATGATTTTTTTTAATTCACCAGGAATTGGAACACAGATCACCCCAGTCCTATTCTAGCACTCCCATCAGGCATCCCTTGCTGAAATGTTTGTTTGGACTAGGAGTGGGCAAGTTTAGCCCTCTGGCTGTTGTTGGACTGCAAATCAGCTTCCCTCTCCATTGGTAATGGGGATTAGACTTGCAGTCCCTGTTCTCTTTTCACCAGCAAACAAAGACCTTTCTGTTTAGACAGCTGATCTCATTTGCTGCTCCTTGTTTTATAGTGGCTCTATTTCTAGATGCAAACTCAGAAGGTGGTGCTGAGAGTCTTGCTTGTCAGATGCTGGTAAGAGCCATTCAGGGCCTAAGCAGACTGCCAGAAATAGTGCACATTAAATTGAGGCACTGCCCTGGCTCAGTGCTAGGGAGTCATGGGAATTGTATTTTTTTCTGAGACATTGAGCCTTCTCTGTCAGAGAGCTCTGGTGCCACAATAAATTACAGTTCCCATGATTCCCTAGCACTCAGCCACGGCAGTGCCTCAATTTAATGTGCACTATTTCTGGCAGTCTGCAAAGGCTCTCAGAGAGCTAGTGTGGTCTAGAGCTTTGAGTGTTGCACTCCGACTCTGGAGATCAAAGTTCAATTCCCTACTTGACCACAGAAATCCACCTTGAGAGAGTCACTTACTCTCAGCTTAAGAAAACCACATGATAAAATCGCCTTAAGATCATTATAAGTGGGAAATGACAAGAAGGCACAAAAAGACAGCAAAAACAACAAACAGCTGTTCAACAGTGGAATGGAGTATTTGGAGGGTAGTGGATTTTCCTTTCTTGGGGTTTTCAAAATACAGTTGGATGGCCATCTGTCAGGAATGATTTAGCAGAGTATTTCCTGCATCAACAGGGTGCTGGACTAAATGACCACATGATACTTTCCCAGTCTACAGTCCTGTGCTTTTCTGTAATTTACTGAAAGGAAGGAATTGCATTTTGGAATGTGTTGATGAGAATTATGACTGCTACTTTGCACACTTTGTCATGGCCATTGGTTACAAATAATAAAACCTCATTGATTCAATTGTTGTGCACATAACATGACTGTAATATATCTCAATACTCTGCTTTTATATAAAGCTGATATGTCAGATCCTTACAGAAAGCCAAGCTAAGGGGTAGTTATGAAGCATTAAATAGAACTTGAATGCACACCTCTCACTCACTCTGACACATTTGTTTTGTTTTACTCTTTTACACAATCAGAGGCTGTGTCATGTTCAGTTTGATCAGATCTTCCTAACCTGACACCCTCGCAGATGACTCGGACTACAACTCCTGTCATCCCCAACCACCACAATTAATATTATTTTAGGATTACAGGATTTCCAGCCTACACCTCTGGAGGGTGTTGCATTGGAATACAAAAGTTAGAATCATACAAGCCATTGTATTCCCTATTACAATGTATGTATGCAAGAGCTGGACAGTTAAGAAAGAAAATAAATTCATTTGAAATGTGGTGCTGGAGAAGAATGCTGAGGATAACATAGACAGCCAGAAAATCAAACAAATGGGCCCTAAAACAGATCAAACCAGGAAGCCAAGATGACTAAACTAAGGCTGTTGTACTATGGCCACATCATGAGAAGGCATGGCTCACTGGAAAAAACAATAATGCTAGGAAGGATGGAGGAAAACAGAAAGAGAGGAAGATTACATGCTAGATGGATGGACTCTATTAAGGAGGCCATGGGTATGAAGTTACAGGAACTTAACTGAGTAGAGCAGTAGAAGATAAGGAGTCTTGGAGTTGTCTCATCCCCAGGATTGTCATGAGTCAGGATTGGAGGGGAATTAACAACAACAATAACAACAAAAGGATATGTATTAAAAGCTGTAAAAAGGAGCCTCACCTTTGGCACTACCTTTCTGCAGTGTTGGATTGCACGCTCCTGTAAGGCAGGAGGCTATGCTGACAACAGCAATGCTGCTGGTAGGGTCCCCCATGTCAGACAATTTTTTACTCAGGAGACAGACTAAATGTGCCAAACATCTAATGGGTAGCAGCAGGAGTGGAGGGTGATTCTAGTGGAGGATCTCTCAGACTCTTCTACCCAGCAATTGGTATTGAAAAGAACACTTCCTATGATAACCACCTTGGTGCTACCTTTCCACAGTGGTGTGCTTATACTATTGGTAGCATCTCCATGCTAATAAGTAAAATTAGAGTAAAGCTTAAAAGTATATGAAGTCCTTCATTGTGCCAAAATGCAACCCAAAGAATATCCCCATAGAATTTAAAGACCATGTAAAGAAGAGTTTTGTACTTTTAAGCCTAGTTGACAGCAGTGTTATCTCTATGGTTGGTGTCACGCAGTGTGGGAACTCATGATGTCACTCCCTCTCCACTGACCTCCTCCCATTTCACACCATACAGAATCCTTAGTAATGCTTTCTTGCACTAATGTTACTCGTAAATCATAATTCCCATATATCACTGAATATAATGCTAATAGTTGTGACATAAACAATTATCAAAATTAAAATCATACCTTCAAATTACGATATCATATGCACAATCTAAATGTATTTACGTATACATAGTGAAGATTTGCTTAAAATGTGATGTTTTTAAAGAAATTTTAAAAATAATTTTAAAAATTAAAAAATAATTAACCTTTTAAAATTTGAAACTTGAATTTAAAAAAATTCTGGGGGCTCTCCTTTCTTCTCCCACTGAGCTTCACCCCACTCCCACATCTCTTAAAGCATTTAAAAGGGAAGCAGATTAATGCCACAGCTTGTTTCTGCCAAAAGGTAGGTATCTGAGGATCAGTGGTGTCACCCCCCCCATTAGGGCGTCACCTGGTGCAATCCGCACTCCCTAATGACACCACTGGTTGACAGGAAACCAGAAGAACTTTGGACTGAAACAAGGGACATTTCAGGGAAGAATGAAAATGAAATTAGCTGCAGCCAAAAAAAAAAAAAGAGAGAGAGAGAGAGAAGCCAGGATGACAGATGAAATTCTTTAAGCAATTAAAGACAGCAAAGAAGCAAAAGTGAAAGATGACAGAAACGGTGTCAGAATACTAAATGCAACTGTTCCGTGACTTGAATGTAGGCACAACTATTATAATAATCAATGCAAAAATATTAAAAAGTCAACAAAAAAGCAAGGACAAGAAATCTCTTCCACAGCATCCAAGAAATTAAAGGGAAATTCAGACCAAGAGTAGGGATGCTATATGACAATCAGGGGAATATGTAGTATGATCAGGACAAAATAAATGTCAGTGGAAGCAATGCACAGAGGAAATATATAAAAGGGATGACATTATGACAGATTCCTTCAAGCAAGATGCATTTGAAATGAACCCACAATTTCAGAATGTGAAGTGGAAAAGGCTCTCAAAGCACTTGGGAGAAATGCAAATAGCATACCAATAGAGCTGATTCAAGCTACAGAGATAGAATCCTTCAAATTCTATCAAAAATCTGCCAATAAGTATAGAGAACAAAACAGACTGGGAATGTTTGTATACAATCCAATAGGCAATAAAGCATACACCAAGGAAGGTAATAAACATCAGACTATTGCACTGATTTCCCATGCAAGCAAAATGATGCCCGAGAAT